TGGCTGATCACATAGACACATGTCCTTCGGAGGCCGACTTGCTCTGATCAAGAGCACTCTTTGTGCCCTCCCTCTTCACCTTCTCGCGGTGCTTGATCCCTATCAGTCTACGATTCATGAGTTAGACCAGATCTTAGCCCGCTATTTTTGGAGCCATGGCGAGGGCTCTCGGGGATAGCGACAGACTCACTGGGTGAAGTGGGACTCTATATGTCGTCCCTATTCTGAGGGTGGGCTCGGGATTCGACGTTTCACTGATGTTGTCACTGCGTTTTCCTACAGGATGTGGTGGCGCCTTAGGGAGGGCAATTCCCTTTGGGCCCAATACCTCCTGAGGAAATATTGCCCCTGGTGGAGCTGCCACCCTTGCAGGGTGACAGCCACTGCTCGGGATAGTCGACAGTGGAGACGGCTCACCATTTTTGACAGACGTGCTCAGAAGCAAATTTTTTGGACCTTGGCTTCTAGGGAGGTTAGCTTCTGGGATGAGTGGTGGTTCGGCGTGGCCCCCCTTTCGAGTACTAGCCCGGTCACTCACCTGCCTTTCATGCAGGTGAAGGACCTTTGGCTGGGGGAATTTTGGGATAGAGATAAGATGAATGATATTCTAGGTGAGGGTGGGAGTTTCAGTAGCCTTGAGATTTACCAGATCTGACAGATTCCTATTATGGAGGGAGGTTAGGACAGCATGAGGTGGAGACTTACATCTTCGGGTGCATTCTCTACGTCATCGACCTGGGGAGATGTGAGGCTGGGCAACTGGCCTAACCTCCTCTTCGGGGCCGTCTGGACTGACCTTCTCACCCCGACCATTTCCGTCTTTTTGTGGCTTCTCCTATTACGGCACATTCCCATTGACACTGTGATGCAGGCGAGAGGGTTCTTCTTTCCCTCCCGTTGCCATTGTTGTGTTGAGACAAGCACATTTGAGATTGAGACTTTCACCCATCTTTTCCTTCAGAGTGAGATTGTGAGGAGAGTGTGGGAGCACTATGCCAGATTTACTCATATTCCCCTACCCACTACAGACAGTTTTTTTGAGCTTCTGAGTTTTCTCTTTCACCGCACACACAGTAGACACGTGGGCTTCCTTATTCCTTTTCTGATACTATGGTCCACCTGGATAGAGAGGAATAACGCGAAGCATAGGGATATTATATTTTCTTGTGCTCACATCATTTTGCAGGTTGACAGACATCTTTCTCTCCTCACCGCCCTAGGTAGACTCACGACGAGAGACTGGACAGATTACACACCGCCCCATCGTTTGAGGCCACCACCTCCTTTACCTGTCCAGCACCCACGACCCAGGACGCTGTTTGGCTGAAACCCAAGGCCCCTTGGGTTAAGCTAAACACCGATGACACATTCGACAGACATACCGGAGCTGCTGGAGGAGGGGGCCTGATTAGGGATCATGGTAGGGCACTCATCTCTGCCTTCCATGGGCCACTCTGGGCCTCCTCGAGTTATTATGCAGAGATTCAGGCACTCCATATTGGTCTTGAGATTGCCGCCTCGATCTCCTCCCATATCTGGATAGAGATGGATGCTGCAGCTGTCATCACACTTTTGACATCTGGCCACCAGGGCTCATGGCAGATACAACATCCCCTTATGCGCATCAGAGACACCCTCCGCTCGATCCATTACTAGGTCTCACACATATTCCGAGAGGGGAATCGACCCGCTGATTTTCTTGCTAGCACGGGGGCATCTATACCCCAGAGACACATCCTCCATCCTGAGGACATTCCCCTCCGGCTTCGGATGCTCATTCGGATGGACCAACTAGAGTACCCATCTTTCAGATTCGGACGACCGCCACCACCTGACCCTGACTAGACACATCGGATATTTTGTGATCCTTGTATTTTTTGCTTTCTTCCTTTTCTGTTTTGATGTTTCTCTATGTATCTTCGACATTGATGTAGACTATTGACTTTTAAACCCTCACTGGGCCATTATATTCACAGGTCGGGGGTGAATCCTCAACCCCCCATCCCACACTGGGATGTTTATATAAAAAAAAAACATACATCAGTATGGATTAAACCCAACGGTTCAGTATTTCTTTCCACCGATTCAAAAGGTAATTTAGCCATTTTGGCTTCAACCCAAATTTCATATTTTTTGTGTGATTCAATTTTAGAATTAGGAATTAATTCTAAGTTCATCAACCGTTTAATTGCATTTAGATTTACATGTCCTAATCTAATATGCCATAAATTAGAGCACTCAACGATATAAACAGAAGTAAGATTTTCATTATCAGCAGAAACGGTTACACGGCTCACAACCATTACATTCATTTTAAATAACCCCTTGTCAAGATAGCCACGACCAAGGAAGGTACCAAACTTGCTAAGAATAAACTTCTTAGCATCAAACACTAACTTAAATCCATGCTCTACAAGAAGAGATCCGGAGACCAAATTCTTGCGGATATCTGGGACATGCAGAACATCCTTAAGCTTCAACTCCTTTCCAGAAGTCAGCTTCAGCACCACGGTGCCAACTCCAGCCACATCAGACGAGGAGGAGTTGCCCATGTGGAGCTTCCGACCAGTAGAATGAGTGTAGTCAAAAAACAACTCCTTGTCGGAACATACATGGCTAGTAGCACCAGTATCAATGTACCACGCCCTTGGGTTATCCACCAAATTAGTTTCAAACACCACAGCCGACATATCCATGCCGGTTAGTTCACTCGGCACAGGGCCGTGTTCAGCAATGAGGGCACTAGATTGTGCCTTCTTCAGCCCAGCCTTTTTAGGCCTCCTGAAGTCCTTTGCCATATGGTTCGGCTTTCCACAGTTGTGGCAAGTGCCGGTAAATTTCCAAGCTTTGGCAGGCTGCTGCTTCCCTTTGTTAAGGGGTTTCCTTTTGCTCGAGTTGCCTTACTCCAGCAAGTTGGCACGAGCTTCTATCATCGGGGCCTTTCCTCGAAGACTTCCGATTGTCCTCTTCAATTCGAAGACGAACAACCAGGTCTTCAAGACTCATCTCCTTCCTCTTATGCTTGAGGTAGTTCTTGAAGTCTTTCCAACCCGGCAGCAGTTTCTCGATCACAGCCGCAACTTGGAATGACTCGCTCAGAGACATTCCTTCAGCATGAATGTCGTGCAAGATGAGTTGGAACTCTTGCAATTGAGACACGACGGTCTTAGTGTCGACCATCTTGAATTCTAAAAATTTGCTGACGACGAATTTCTTCGCCCCGACATCCTCAGTTTTGTATTTCTTCTCCAAGGCAGCCCAAAGTTCCTTGGCAGAACCAACCGAGCTATACACATTGTACAACTCGTTACTCAGTCCGTTGAGGACATAGTTCCGGCAAAGGTAGTCACATTGCCCCCAAGCATCGTATGCTGCTCGTAGCTCAGCATTCGATTCATTTTCAGCCACGACAGGAGGGTTGTCTTTAAGGTACTTCACCAAACCCAAAGTGGTCTGGTAGAAGTGCATCTTCTGTTGCCACCTCTTGAAATCAAGCCCGTTGAATTTTTCGGGCTTCTCAGCAGTGGGAACATGAACAACAGGTTGGGGATGATAAACACCGGGGGTGATAGGTGGTTGAGTTTGTGATCCTTCTTCAGTGGATGGCATCAGTTCAGTAGGTGTCGAGTATTTGTCTTGCGATTGTTACACAATAATGTGTTTTGATT